TCTCTGTTCTACCTTTTGGCCGGCCAGTTCATTTGGTTTCAATTTTAACATTTGGAACTGTGGGCGCAGTGCATTGGTTGGATTGGTAAAAGCTATAATTTAGTTCGTGTCAATGGCGCCACAAATTCTCATGTAGAACGAGGTAAATCAGAGATTATTCAGTTGATGACTTTGATGGAAGAACGTGGCATTCGTGCCAACTATCAGACCTATCTTTGGCTATTAGAAGGGTGCTTGACTTCTGGGTCTTTACTTGAAACTAAGAGGCTCCACTCTAAGATTTTGAAATCAGGTTTTGACGGGGAGCCTTTACTAATCGATAGTCTTCTTGATAATTATCTTCAACATGGGGATCTAAATGGGGCAGTTAAAGTGTTTGATGATAATCCTAACAGAAATGTACTTTTTTGGAATAAGATGATTCACGGCCTCGTTGCGCGGAAGTTGCATTCCCAGGTGTTTGGTCTCTTCCGACGAATGATAGCTGAAAAAATTGCTCCCAATGAATATACTTTCGCTGGGATTTTAAAGGCTTGTGGTGGTTGCAACATTGAGTTCAACCATGTAGAACAGGTACATTCTAGGATAATCTATTATGGTTTTGATAGTAGTCCACTTGTTGCTAATCTATTGATTGATTTGTATTCAAAGAATGGGTACATAGGGTCAGCTAAAAAAGTTTTCAATTACATATATATGAAGGATATTGTTACTTGGGTAGCTATGATCTCAGGTTTATCTCAAAATGGACTTGAAGAAGAGGCCATTCTCCTTTTCTGTGATATGCATGCATCAGAAATCTTTCCTACTCCTTATGTACTGTCTAGTGTGTTAAGTGCTTCTACCAAGACTCAATTATTTGGTTTGGGAGAGCAGCTTCACTGTCTAATTATTAAGTGGGGATTTCATTCTGAAACGTATGTCTGCAATGCTCTTGTGGCGTTGTATACCCGGTCTGGGAAATTGATATCTGCTGAGCAGATATTCAGCAAAATGCAATTTAGGGATGGTGTTTCGTATAACTCACTAATATCTGGCCTAGTTCAGCAAGGATTTAGTGACAGAGCCCTGGAGTTGTTTAATAAAATGCAACGAGATTGCTTGAAACCCGACTGTATTACAGTTGCTAGTCTGTTGAGTGCTTGCGCATCAGTTGGGGCTCTTCATAAGGGAATGCAACTCCACTCATTTGCAATAAAAGCTGGAATGTCTGCAGATATTATTCTTGAAGGTTCTCTTCTTGATCTTTATTCAAAGTGTGCTGATGTAGAGACTGCACATAAATTTTTCCTTACAACAGAGACAGAAAATATAGTGTTGTGGAATGTGATGCTAGTTGCTTATGGGCAATTGAATAATCTCCGTGATTCATTTGAAATATTTAGACAAATGCAGATTGAGGGCATGATACCCAATCAGTTCACCTACCCAAGTATTTTGAGAACTTGTACTTCTTTAGGAGCCTTGTATTTAGGAGAGCAAATTCATACCCATGTAATAAAGACTGGGTTTCAGTTGAATGTCTATGTTTGTAGTGTGCTTATAGACATGTATGCTAAACATGGACAATTAGACATTGCCCTTGGGATCCTTAGACGGCTGCCAGAGAACGATGTTGTCTCCTGGACTGCAATGATTGCTGGTTATGTACAACATGATATGTTTTCAGAAGCACTTAAACTTTTTGAAGAAATGGAGTACCGAGGAATTCGATCCGATAATATTGGATTTTCCAGTGCTATTAGTGCATGTGCAGGTCTCCGGGCCCTCCATCAAGGACAACAAATTCATGCTCAGTCACATGTGTCTGGTTTCGGAGATGATATTTCAATCAACAATGCTCTAATTAGTCTATATGCCAGATGCGGTAGAATTCAAGAGGCATACTTAGCATTTGAGAAAATTGATGGTAAAAATAATATCTCCTGGAATTCATTGGTTTCAGGATATGCACAGAGTGGGTATTTTGAAGAAGCATTGCAGGTATTTGTACGAATGCTACGGACTGAAGCAGAGGTTAATATGTTCACATATGGATCTGCCATCAGTGCTGCAGCCAGTCTTGCGAACATAAAGCAGGGGCAACAACTCCATGCCATGATTTTGAAAACGGGATATGATTCCGAAATGGAAGCTTCTAATTCTTTAATTACATTGTATGCAAAATGTGGTAGCATAAGTGATGCCTGGAGAGAATTTAATGACATGTCAGAAAAAAATGTGATTTCTTGGAATGCCATGATCACTGGCTATTCCCAGCATGGTTGTGGTATGGAAGCACTTCACCTTTTTGAAGAGATGAAGAAGTGTGGGATCATGCCAAACCACGTTACTTTTGTGGGAGTTTTGTCAGCATGTAGCCATGTTGGACTTGTGAAAGAAGGTCTCGGTTACTTCGAATCCATGTCTAAAGTGCACGGTTTAGTTCCCAAGTCCGAACACTATGTGAATGTGGTGGATCTCCTTGGTCGGACTGGTCTTTTGAACCAAGCAATGGAATTTATAGAAGAGATGCCTATCTCTGCAGATGCAATGATCTGGAGAACACTTTTAAGTTCTTGTGTTATCCACAAAAATATGGAAATAGGAGAGCGTGCTGCTCAACATCTCCTAGAATTGGAACCTGAAGACTCAGCCACCTATGTGCTACTGTCAAATATATATGCAGTGTCTAGAAAATGGGTTCATAGGGATTGGTCAAGGAAATTGATGAAAGACAGGGGGGTAAAGAAAGAGCCGGGTCGTAGTTGGATTGAAGTTAAAAATACAGTTCATGCATTCTATGCTGGAGATAAGCTCCATCCATTTACGAATCAGATATACGAGTATATAGGAGATTTAAATAGACGAACATCTGAAATTGGATATGTGCAAGATAGCTTTAACCTTTTGAATGAGTCAGAGCAAGGCCAGAAGGATCCAACAATGTGTGTTCATAGTGAGAAATTAGCAATTGCTTTTGGACTACTTAGCTTGTGTAATAATATTCCCATACGAGTAATGAAGAATCTTCGTGTCTGTAATGATTGCCATAGTTGGATTAAGTACGTATCAAAGATTTCACACCGGTCGATTATAGTTAGAGATGCACATCGCTTTCATCATTTTGATGACGGTGTCTGCTCATGTAGAGATTTTTGGTAACTGCCAGTAAAAACACTCACCTTTTTGATTCTCGACTTCCATGCTTCTGAGGTTCTCAGGCTTCTTGACGTCAACAAATAGCACGTATAAGGGTATAGCCATGGGCGTACATTTGAAGAATCCTATCTACCCTTCCAAGAAGCGTGTTTGTGCCCCATTTTTAAAAACAGATTTGATGTGTTTCAGCCTTTTAAGAAATGGATTGGAAAAGGCTGAGGAGGGGATTTAATAAACGAAAAAATTGGATCCTACCAAACAAGTTTGGACAGGAAAATCTTATGGCAGAAGATGATAATTTGCCTCGAGACTACCGTAGGGGGGTAATTAAGTATAGCTCAGTGGACGGGTCACTTCCTCCTTCCTCCTCGAAGGTTGATAGTTCAATTCTCCATCCTCCATCCCACATTTGAATTAAAAAGAAAAAAAAAAAGAGCTACCATAGGAGGAGGACCAAGTTCTTCAATATTCTTTTGAACCTTGGTATGGCATCAGGAATTTGTTTTTGTCTCAATTAATCTGCAAATGTTCTATATTACAATCTGACGTTCACAGATGCTTCCTTTTTCTTTCCAGATTTCAGATTTTGGATTGCCCAAATGGCTCCCAAATCAATGGTCTCAGCACTCAATTGCTTCCACTCGCAAAATCTACCGAAACAAGCTGATCAAATATCTTCATTGAGGTAAATATAGCTTCAAACTAATGGTTAGTTTAATTAAATCATTCACCATAGCAAATTTTCTGTATAGCAAAAAACAATAAAAGAAGTGAATGTGAGGCTTTGGCTAAGTTTCAATTAGAGCAATCAATGGGTACTTTCTATTTAGTTTTTGTATCGAACCAGTTGAATCGATTAGTTCGGTCCAATGTTTTTAGACCGAACCGACTTGAGATAGGCTTGTTCGGTTCCAAGGTCCTGAGATGTAACTATTTTTTTTTTTTCCTTGGGGAGTTAGAACCAAATCAATCCCATTTAATATAGGTTATTTCGGTTTGATTCGATTCGGTTCAATTTTGTTGACTTTGTCAACCTTGTATAGATATTAGATAGTATAGTTGTTCCATTCTATTGACTGCTCCTCTTTCCATTTCTAGAAGTAAGACAGTTTCCTTTAATCCTCTTGAAGAAGAAGATTCATCAAATAGAAAATGAAATTTTATCCCATTTGCTTAATAATCAAATGTCTATTTGTTATCTGATAGGTAAGCCTCTAAAAGTGACCCGTTCAATCCAACCTTGCCTAACTAAGGGTGTTGGGACCTGTCCCGTCCCCGTTTGGAGAAATTTTTCCTGTGACCGAAACAGGGTTCCCGCCCCCACTCCATATATATATATATATATGAAAGTTAAAATTTTATTGTGGTTGACAAGTGAAAAATTAAATGAGAAGTAGAGGTTGAATTGAATGGGCGTCTCCGAAATTGAACGTAGAAAAAGAATTCAAAAAGGAAAACGGAATTTTGGGAGACGAAGGAGTCCTTACAACTACAATTTACAACCATTTCCTCAAAACTCAAAACTCTGCCGAATTTAACTCTCTTCTCCTTGTCGCATTCAAATTCATTAATCTCTCTCCAAATTGCCATCGTCCAGCATTCCTCGGTAAAGATATTTATTTATTTTCTTGAAGTTGGAGGTTCAATTATGATGTGGAGATTGAAATAAAATGTTCGCTTCGGTCAACTATATGGTTTCAACGTATGTAAATACACCTATTTAATGATGAGCTAAGGAATCCTTGACTAGTCAGGTGTCGAATCTCAAACTYCACTTGTTGTACTTAAAGAAAATGACGAGGACCAAAATGTTTATTTTGTTAGAATTTGAAGGTTAAAATATGATTTCTTAAGTTTATAGGCTCAAGTAGAGTAATTCCTCAAAATTTCCCAACCTTTTTTTAGAGATAATGGGTTTTTTTTTTTTTTTGAGTTTGTCGAATAATGATTTATGAGCACTCGAATTTTCTCATTTTTGATATGTTCTATTTTCGTGAAAGTTCATTTTTACTATTGCTTCTAAGTTTTTATATTGATGTAACATGAGATTTCATTTCAATTTTTATTTGAAATTTTAATTCTATGAATTTATTATTATTATTTTTTTTATCAGAATTATAATACTATGATTAAAGGCGTGGAGARTCAAAATAAAATAAAGGTAACAATCCTAACAAACTTAATTTATATCACGTTTATTTTAGAAAGTGGAAAAATAATAATAAAAGGAAGAAAATGTGACGTGTTTGACTGACAGTCTAACAAGAGTTGACTGTAGTGTGAAAGTCAACTATCTTCCCTCTTGGTCCCGTCGGTACGTGCTTTTGTTTGCCACCCAATTCCTCTATGAACCACAATTTTTCTCTCAATTTTTTTAATATTACGAATTAGTTTGATTTAGATTTAGTTTTGTAATTAAAAATCTGATAGCTATTTAGTTGGTAAACTTAAGTATATAACAATTTAGTCTAACGATAATCTAGTCTTTAGCTTTGAAAATATTGTTAAATTGTAATGAAATTTCTTACCTAAATAGATCTACAAATTGCTCGACTGAATGAATTTTTAAATTATAGGTACTAAATTGTTTGTCTACTAAATTTGATACTACGTGTCAATTGGATTGATTTTTCACAGTAAAGACTAAATTATTTTAATTTTAAACCACAAAGACTACATCGTTACAAAATGGCCAATGACTGTTCATAATTTAAATCGTTACTTTTCTATAAAAGTAGAGAGACTAAAAGTATATAAGATTTTTTGAGAGTTTAAACCATGACCACAAGAAGAGAGACATATATMTTTAATTTACGGTTGAATTATGTTTACGTTGGCAAGAAAATTTTTGATATAAATAATGATATTTTGATGTATTTTATTTTAGTAAAATACATGTGGGGGTGAGGATCGAGAGGAGAAATAAAGATTGAAAATGAGAAGGCACGGCTGATGAGTGTGTCGGCCGTGGGAACCACAATATCCACAAAACCATGTTGTTTCACACTTGTTTCCCCACTTTGACTTCGTCTAAGTTATAAGCTATTTGCTATTGACATTTATTTCTCACAATTCTCTACTACGTGGATGTATTACTTTACTTGCCCGAAATTAATTGAAACAAAATTTTTATTTTTATTTTTTTTTAATACAACGTACGAACGAGATTGAATTCACAACCTCTTAGTTGGAGATATATGTCAATTACTGTTGAGCTATGTTTGCTTTGACTAAACTGACACAAATCCATTAGATATAAAATTAAAAGTTTAAGAATCTAGTTAAAATTTTTAATATGGTATAGGAGATAGATATCCTAAAAATTAATGTATCGAATTTGTAATTTAAACTTAAAGAAAAGGTATAAAAATTGAAATGGAGGAAGATTGGTAAGAACAATTTTACCGTCTATATTCATTACATTTTTAAAAAAATTGGTAGTTGCAAATACGACAAAATATTTAGTAGAATTAACAAAATAGCAATTAAATTTAGTTTTTTCAAATATTGTACTTAAAAAAATGGAGGTCTAATTTTAAAATAACAACTTTACTAAAATGAAATATATATATATATATAAAACATATGTATGTGATATACATTTGATACGTTATTAATATGAGTGTCTGATATACTTGCAATATATATGTGATATACATCTAATATACTATTGATATGAATGTTTAATATACTATTAATATAAGTATCTAATATACTACTGATATAATCAGTAGAAACTTCGTATTTTGCCTGCACACTAATCATGAGAGTTCGTACTTACGTTTTGATTTAACTTATTTAAGTTATTTTTGGTTGAAAGCTCGTGAGTCGATTAAACTCAGACTTTGATTTTGAATTTGAGGTGGAAGGCAAAGGGAACTAATACTTTTCTGGATTTGGTATTAAATTCAAATTAGGTTTTTGTTCTAAAAAAATCCAAAAGAAAACTTCAACTCGAAGAATTCTCAAACTCACATTGGGGAGAGAGAGAGACAGAGAGCAACCGACCTCCTTTCAATGGCGGCGTGCGGCCATTCAAATGAAAACTCCCAAAATAAATTAAGATTAAATCCTGCACACTTCTTCCACACTTCTCCCACCTTTCAATTTCTATTTCATATATATCTCTCCGTAATCAAATCAAAAATTTCAACCCAATTTTTCAACTTCTCTTCTTTTCTCCTAAAAGAAAAAGAAATTCAAGCTTTTTAATAGCCTTTGCATGGCGGATAATCCAAACGACGCCACATCTGATCCCGATATGTCGTTTTTGGGTCTCAGTAGAGAAATGGAGATGTCGGCCATCGTCTCCGCTTTGACCCACGTCGTCGCCGGCGACGTGCCGGAGACACACCCTTATCACTCTGCTTCAGCTTCAGCCCCTTACGGCGGCGGAGGATTCAAGAGAGGACGTGCCCCGCCGCTGGACGACGGCGCCTCCGTTTCGACGCTGTTTCCACCTTTTGGCGGCTTCTCCCATGGCGGTTCACCATCCTCTGCAATTGCAAAATTTGCTAAATTTTTCCACAGTGACTTTAAATTTTCCTGTAGATTTCAAACGAATTCTAATCCTTTGAAAATCTACGCCATTTCAAATCCTTGTTCTTACTCTTAAGAATTTTACAAATTATAGATAGTCCGTTGAGCAAGATTTTACAGAATTTTAGATATTTTTAAAATTTATAGACTCCGTCATATATAAGATTGCATATGTGGAGAACTTCTAAAGTTCAGGAATTAGGCATAAAAGTTTAGACACTTTTAATAAATTAATTTGATTTTTTTAGTCTTTCAAATAAAATTAATGAGCTATCAATGTATATTAAATTTAACTCTTGAATTGAGTGGAAGTTTATTGGATTCGGTTCTTGGATTGAGCGGTGGTAGCGGTGGTTTATTAGTCTGGACCATTTTCTTAGTCGAAAGGATTAATGAATTAATTCTGATTGTGTTGCAGGAGATTCAAGCAATGCAGTGATTATAAGACCCCAAATAGGGACGGCGGCGGGGGCGAATTCTGTGTATGAGTACGGCGGAGAGATTCCAAGCACGGCGGAGCAAGCACCGGCGAGGAGAAAATACAGGGGAGTGAGACAGAGGCCATGGGGGAAATGGGCCGCCGAGATCAGAGACCCGTACAAGGCGGCCAGAGTTTGGTTAGGTACTTTCGACACGGCGGAATCCGCCGCCCGAGCTTACGACGAAGCCGCCCTCCGCTTCCGTGGCAGTAAAGCCAAACTTAATTTCCCGGAAAATGTCCGGCTCCGGCCGCTTCCGGCCACCGAATCACCGGCGACCCATTTAAGCAATCCCGATTCCACGAACACCCTTTTCGCAATTCCGACCAATTCCGAACCGATCGTCCATTCTGAGCAAATTCATAGCTTGCAGAGATTTTCCGATGCCTCGTCGGTGAACTTCCTCCATTACTCCGGCGTTCAATTGCAGCCGCCGATGGACGTGTACAGTGAAATTAACCTGTCATCTTCATCAATGGCTTCTCCTTTTCATTCTTCTTCCGCCGGACTGTCGAATTCTCAGCTCTCGTCGGCGTCTTCTTCCTCGCCAGTAGTTTCTCTCCCGCCTCAGTGCTTTACCAGTCGTCGGAGCGGCGGCGACGAAGACGGTGAACATTATTCGATTTCAGAGTGGTCTGAATTTTTGAATCGTGCTGCTTCATCGGGATGATTGCGTTATTTGTTTTTGGTTTTCAGGTAGAATAGAATTAGGAAATTGAATCTGGCAGGGTTGATAATTGTTGATTTTTTTTTTGTCTACCTAATTTTTGGTGTGGAAAACTATTGCTCTACGGTATAATTTGATGAGAATTGGTTTTGAGATACAGTTTCAAACTAGCATTCCATCAGAAAATAGGATTTATTGGCCTTAGTACTTTTTGACTTTGTTTCATATAATATTTGTTTTTGTTGTATGTTTTAGAAAAAAAAAAGCACCATTTCGGTCTTTATTTTTTAAATTTTAACACCATATCATACCTATAACGAAATCTTTTAACATGAAATATTTTAAGAAATACATTAAATGTAGTATTGTTGTTTGTTAAAATTGTGATAGAAAAAATGAGACTCAAAATAAAATTAAGGGATTGAAATGATCACTTTATAAAAGCACAAGGACCAAAACGAAGATTTTGAAAGGATACAACTAAGTTGAAGCAAAGTAAACAAAGCTACATGGATTAAAATAACATTTTAATCTAAAACTAGCTAAAAATAATATTTTAATATAGAATTAGCTACCGACACAAAATTCAAAGTTAATATATTATAAATTTTATATATTAAATTACATACAAATTTAAAAGTTTTAAGGATTTGTTAAAATATATAAATTTAATAGACATCATTCTAGAAGTTTAATGACAAGACGTGTAGTTTTTTATTTAAAAATATTTCTCTCTTGTACATTTACTCCTATAAGTGCAATGTCATGTGTTCTTATTTTGATGTTTTTATAATTCTTTATAATTCTATTGATATTAAATTTCTCTCTTCTTTACAATGATCCTCATTCACAAAAAATGGTTCACATGTGTAATGTGAAAATAACTCATAATATAGCTATAAAGTTCAAGTCGAAAAAGTTCGTATTCTTTTAAACAACTAATCGGTTAACTTTTTAATAGATGAACCGTGATAAAAATGAAAATTTTTAATCAAAGAGAAGTTTGCTGGTGAGAATGTTACATTTGGGATTAATATATTTGCTTAAAAAAGATCCCTTAAAGATTTTATATTGAATACATGATGAATAAAAAAATGTCTTATGATTAGGAGAGATTTTTTTAAGAATTGTGAACGTTGAGTTGAGATCATCACATGATTTATTAAAGTGGGCAAGAGTGTAGTTACACTGAACCAATTTCATAAAAAATATATATAAATATATATAATTTTTTGTTAAAAACTCATAAATTGATTTAAAAGGCATAGTATGAAATCATTTGGTGGATATCCATGAAAAGTTTGAATTTATAAGTCCACTAGGTAGGTTGGTCGGGCACCTATTTTTTTTTCATTTTGAAAAAGAATAAGAACATATATGATCCAAATAAATGTATATTAAATATTAGATATAACAACAAAGAAAACATAATTTAATATTGTTAGTTACAAAAAGAACGAGGATTTAAATATTTGTTTTTTTCATTATTCATTCCTATTATTCTGATGAAAGTTTGCCACTATTAGGGATTAAGATATTTTCAATCTCTTTAGTCTTAGACCAAAAAAAACGAAATAATTAGGTTGACTTAAAACCGACCAATTTAATGGTATTTGGTCAAAGTATGAAAAAGGTGATTTTTGTATGGATTGGTTAAGTCGGCTGTGGCTATCATTTTCATTACCATACAATAAGTAGAAAGTTTCACACCATACCATATCAAAAACTTTTCAAAAAAGTGTTTGACTGAACAAATGAACTGTAGAAAGGAACATGTGTTGCAATTTGCAAATGGGTCACTGACACAAAATTCTTCTTCTACAATGGACACGACGACGAGAGATTGGAAACGGAGAAAACGACTTTGTTTTGGACAATTGGGTTAGAATTATCGTATTCGTCGAAATGTCTGTTGTATTAATATTTATGAGATTTCATCTCAAAATTAATTGAGACTCTTTTCTCTTTTCAACGTAGAGTTCGACAAAAATGGCGGTGAAGAACGTCCTAGAGCAGTGGAAACTTGCCCTTTTGAATTATCTGTTTTTTCTCTTTTTCATATATATTTTTTTTTGTCTGGTCATTTGATGTCCAGTGCAGATGAAGACTGGCAAAAACTGTTCTGGAAATTGATTTAAGCGAGGGAGAAAGAGTACGGAAATTTAAGTATTCCGATAATTATTTATGTTTCTAATTCCTGTTTTGAATTTGTTCTGGAATATAAATAAAAAAATTGTTTTATCGTTTCTTAATTTACAGGGAAAAAGAAGAAAATGGAGGGGAACGTTGCCTAAAAGATCTAACAACGAAGCTTTTGGGTTTGGGTAGAATTGACCAAGGAAGAAGATGGGTAAATATTTGGAAGGGAGAATTGATTAAGGGCAATTTAGCAAATAAGAGGGTATTTTGACCCAAAATTTAATTTATTGGACAAACTTTTAACCAAATATGCATTTCCATAAGGGTATTTTGCCCAATCGCCCTTCTATTCGTTTGATTTAAATGCCCTTATTAGTTATTACTAACTAATTGTCAGAGTGAGCATAACTCAATATAATTTACATATACTTTCAACCAAAAGGTCGTGAGTTTAAATCCCCTCCCCACCATGTTGTACTAAAAAAAACTAATTACCTCTTCCTTCAGTTAAATTTGAACTCTACGATTTCTTTAGTTAACCCATAATCTCAAAGGAAAAAGTATAATTATTAATGCCAATATGAGTATAGACTCAACTTCGATGGGAGATGTAACTTATAACTTTTACCGTTGATGCAAGAAAATTCGCACTTTAAACTTTAGCCAAATCAAATAAAACAAACCCAAAGAGTGTTTAAAATTTAAGCACCACAGTTGCTCCCACAGCTGCAAAAAGAAGCCTCTTTAGGAGCTATGTGTAGTCGGGGATAATTAGACTGTATCTTTACATAACACATAACAGTTACAAGAAGCAGACCAAAGACCTATAATTTTCACCAAATGCCACAACAATCAGATCATCAATGCCCAACCAAACAGCAAGAAATGGTGAGCCAATATTTTTTTATTATGGTTATAATTCTCATCAAGCTTCTAAAGCAACTTTATGTACCATGGTTTCTTTGTGAACTTGCTGACAACTCTTCACGACGAGATCGAGTAGTTTCTCCAAGTTCATCGTCCATGTATTAAGAATGTCGTTGCTGTCCTTTGTCGCTCCAAAACAGACTCTTCCAGTCGGCCGGTCTATCTTAGCAGCCAGGGCTTTGGATACAACCATGTCAGAGAGATGTTTCTCAGCTTCCTGAATTAGATAAGAGAGAGAATAAAGACTTCCATATGGATATAAGCAACTTCAAGAGAGAGAATAAAGACTTCCATATGGATATAAGCAACTTTGTTAAGCCTTGATTTACACGTTTATATCAAAAACCAAATATACCAAAATACTTTCAGTTCTTCTCAATCAAAATGGAACATACCTGAAGACTGAGACACAACAAGTCTGCAAATCTGCTTAAATTAATCCTTGTATAATACTTCGATACAACTATTATGTTCTGAAAAAGAATCAGAAACAAATGAGGCCGGCTCCCGTGATATAACATTAACATAATAAGATTCAGTTAGGCCAACAAGTTCATCAGGATCAAAGTTTAGTCGATGTCTAGGGATCACTTACATGTTCAATTATTCTGTGTCTTAGATCTTCCGCAGCTTTATCACCCAAAGCGCCACCAAGGAAATTCTTCTCGTTATCGAATTCGTCCTTGAAGGTATTCCATAGACATGTCCACTGAATAACCTCCATTGTGACTAGCTGTTTTAACAACAATCTATAATAGAATTGTTGGAATAAAAACCACATCAAACAAATGAACATAAAGTTTATAGAGGAATGTAGCAAAAGATTGCTTTTATTAGTAATTTCATAAATAAATAAAAAAAAAACCTAAGGTAATGAATCTCATAAAGATTATTTCTTTTTATTTTGTTCCAAAAACTAATGAACATGGAGTTTTTGAATAAAACTAGCAAAAAAAATTGCTGATTACATGAAAAATCTACCTAAAATCTGGAATCTCATAAAGATTCTTATCTTCCAAGGTGCAGTTGAGGAGACTAGACTGCATCGGACCATGTGGTGATAAAACTAGATACCAACAGATTTTTCTGAGGACCTGAAAGTAGACAAGTAGTAAAATATGAGAGAATTTCGACATTAAAGAAAACATGGAACAGAAAGAAGCTTCACCGGTATGCATTCTGCTGGATTATCTTTGACGGAAGGAATCTCATATATGGCCTTATAGCTACGGCAAATCTCGAAATATTCATTATGATGAGAGTGGTACCTACACAAATTGTGAAAGCCAGTATAAAATGGTAAGTTTACTTTCAAATGAAGATTCTTGAGGAATCAAGACACCCAAAGCCAGTACAATGAAGAAAATTCCAGAGGATTCATGATTAGCTCTTTTAAAGTCTAAGATTATGCTGTACTCAGATCTTCACATAGTGGAGTTAACTAAACAAATTATGGATGAGGAAGAGTGGGGGGAAACCAAAAGGAATGAAGCATCAGAATCAAGGAAGAATATTGTCCCACGTTTTATTAGCTAGAATACAGCTTCCCTCATTCTCAGAAACAAAATTACAAGACGATGATGTAAAGAAAAACTAGTAATGACTCTGTGCACATATGCCCTTAAGGCTGCTAGTGGGTACTGCAGAAAAAATATAGAAGAGCAAACATGGTGGCATTTCCACAAGTGCTAAAAAATTATTAGAAGAAGATCGATTTAAAATTAGATTATCATAGCAAGTACAGTGTAAATCCAAACATGATACAATCAATTGCAAACAAGATTCGCTTACCGTATCATTAGTTCATGGTAGATTCGCTTCAATTCCAACAGCGATGGAGTATCAGCTGGGGCGTCCTCAACTACACTGTCACCTTCCTTGGGTTTTTTCTTCTCCTTTGAATCATCTACGTCAAAAACTCTAGTACTAATTTTCCTTGACAGAATTTGAGCCCGAACGTAATCCTGACCGTCTAAGCACAAGCGAACCTGCAAATTAGATCAAATACCATCATTTTATGACCTTTGACCTCAAAATCTACAGCATTTAAGATCCCCTTCATAAATTTTTATTGGCAGTAATAAAAGACTTAAGATTCACGTACTTGTTCCAGAATGAATGCAATTTTCTCGGTTTTTGCCATGGCACCAAAAGTCTCCACCTGCGGAGACCCACAAAGATTAGACAACCCAGAAGCCAAGAGAATGGTTCATCTTGAAATTGCCACTAAATTTTACAAATACTGACCGCAATTTCTTGCATCAAATCTGCAGCTTCCGCTATGAGACCCTGCTCTTCTTTAATCTTTGCTAATTTCTTTATCAGCCGAGATCTCTCAATTTCCACATATATCTACAAATAGCATAATCGAAAATAACTAACCAAACTATACTTTTTGGGGCGAGAATGAGAGGTTATTTATTTGCATTAATTTACCTTTCCTGCAGAAACATTATTTAGCGTCTTGATGAGCTCTATACGAGTTTCAAGGTCTGGAGTCTCATCAACATATTGCATTCCTTGCTGGACAATTGCAGTTACAGCCTAAGAACAAACAGATTCTCCATATTAAAAAAAATGCTCATCACTTCATTTTTTAAACACAATATAATTACTTGAATTTCAATGTAATTTAAGCGTAGCAAGTACATCTTCAGCAACACAGAATCCAAAATTTTCCATGACACAATTCAATTGCAACTTTCAAAGATTCCACAAATGAAATTACCGAACTCAAGAAACCAATTCCCAGAATGCATAAACCGAAACAATCGGTTGCCAAGGTTGATTACCAAAAATTAATCGACAAACCTGCTTAAGTTGACCGCGGCGTTTCACTAGGAGCACAATTTGGTCGTTGAACGTACTCCATGCCCGCGCTTCAAAACAGAGCTTTAGAATGTCGATTGCGGCCTTCTTGGTGCCGGCGACGTCCCCGGCGACCCTCATCTGCTTCTCAACGAGTAGTAGCTCCTCTATAGCGGCCTCCAAGCTCTGTTTACCTTCCTGAAGTTCGTAAAGTGGAGAATGGGGGGGAAAATCAATGCATTCACTTCAGAAACATAGCAAGAGCAAATTCAAGTATCGAAATGAGAGATCAGAACAAGACAATGAAAGTGGTACAACAAAATTACCATTTGGAAACTCGATTGAGCGTAAATCGGAGCGGGAAAACTGAAATCTGGGGAGAGAGAAGTTGAAGATGGGAGAGCAATGGCAGCTGAAGCTCTGTGGTTGATGAAGGTGAAGGCATAAATCGTTAAGAGTATCGAAGCTGTCCCCTCCTGCACGAAAGGTCTTGCATGAAAGTTTTGCAGTTCAGTCCTTTGGGAATCATAAAATTGTTAAAAGTAAAGTCCACGTGTTTTTATTTTTGTTTGTTTTGCTTTTTTTTTCCCTCAACAATAGTAAAACCACTCAAAAAGTGGACTCTCAATTTCATTAACTAATTTTGATCAATTGGTCAAGACATTAATTTTTACTGTCGTGTTAATGAGAATTAATTTTTTCATTTCAGGTTGGTATTGGAATTAAAATTAAACAGTGGGATTCACACAATTTTTTTCGTTCTTATTCGACAATCATATTTCTCTGTATCCTAATAATCTCATTCCTAAATCCTATTTCTTATTTCATGGATCCCACATATTTATTGCAATTACTTTCATATTTTACTCTCTCTACGAGACCTATAACATTTTTAATTAATTGTTTTACTCTTATTATTTATTTTTTCATTTCTACAACTATTGCTTTTTATTCTAATAAAAAATTATACCATCTTTTATTAGGGGATGTGATTTGTATTATTATAAAATATTATAAATTTATATTTTTAAATTTTATTTTGTTATATTAATTAATATGAATAATTTTTTTAAATAAAAGTTCATTCTTCGTAAATATTATAATAATAAAAGTAAAAATAATAAAAATTAAAACTATTTTTATATTAAATAATTATGTTTCTAATAAAAAGGTATTTTAGTTGGTGTAATTTTATTTTAATTATTAATTATTTATTAATATTAAATAAATTGTTATAATAAAAAATATTTATTATAAATAATTTAGTAATAAAATAAATTATTATTGTAATTAAAAATATATTAACACAACAATATATTTCTAATTAACTAGGAAGAAAAATGTATATTAATAATTGTCATATATCTGATTCCGATTCAAATTCCAGACAATTTTAGTAAACAACATATTCTGATTCCAACAAATTTCTCGTAAACTGCATCGAAGGAATAACATTCCCACTATTTAATTTTGACTAAAGAGTCGTGAGTTCGGATTTGCACACTCTCATATGCTGAACTAAACTATAAAATTTGAAAACTACAACATTAATCAGGAAAAAAAAGTTTTCATACAATATGGAGCAAATATCTATCCAATATGAACCAGCTCAACTGTGAAGACACCTACATATACTACAAAAACATTGAGCAAATACCTTGATTTAAGAAAATAAGAAGTTGGTTTAAAAATTTTAATTACAGACAAGAATTGCAATAATAATTAAATAATTCAGAAGCATTCTATAATATTTGAGAGTTTAATTATAAACGTTGAGGAGATTCAATAAAATCAAAAGTTGGAAAGAAAATTGAGGAGGAAATAAAAAATAGCATAATAAAAAAGAGAAACACAAGACATGTCTAATCGGTTGAGACACGATAAAAGAACCCTAATAATACACTAATTAATGATGTCTGGAAAAATAGTTTTTATAGGCAAACATTTGAAACTCTTTTGCCAAACATGACTTCACATGCTCATGTCCATTTCATCCTCCTGAACTCTTCAACCATACGATCCCTAAAAGTGTTTTTTATAATTTTCTTATATTTTGTAAAAAAACTTATAGGCGAACGCTTGAGATATCTTCTTAAAATTTTACAACGTTAATCCTTTGAGGATCAAACTTTATAGTGACACTTTTTTTAATTCTTAAAGATAATTTGAACGATTGTTTTATCTGTTATGGATTGTTACGATAAAAATGTAATCCCACCAATATGAGGTTTATTGTGTAATTTAAAAGTACAAATGTGCAAACTTATATTGGATAATATCACACTACGCCGTGAAGATGTGAAAAATACTCTTTTGTCATGTTAAATTATATTCAAAATCACACTTTAGACTTTACAATGCTAAGAAGACGAAATCATCAAGTGTCAAATAAAAAATGACGAACATTACATACATATTCATGTGGAATTGTGAGTGAATCCTCAAATGCTAAACGAAAGTAACTGAGTATCGTTAGTAATGCATTATGCACATTAGAACTCAATTACATAGATCCATGTATTATGCAGAATGATGGTTGAGAGAGACTGATTAATGGATCTAATCTTTGTCCAATTGAAGAGTTGTGTTCGTTAAGGATTATCCTACAATATCTTGTTTCTCGGTTGAATTCTATCAAATATGTAAAATATGATAAACAAAAGAGAAAGAAAAAGAGTTCTCAAATTACTGGACAGTGGACGATTTTTAGTTCTTAAATAGATAATTGTTGGAAATGAGAACATAATCATAAATCAAAATATAAAATATCTTAATGATATATTCATTTTTTTATGGTGGAAGAGGGGTGAGATTTGAACATATACTTAAAAAGGAATAAGTTATATACTTTTATTGATCTATACTCATGGCAACTGTATGATATTTTTCAAATATAATTCAAAGGTAAAATACACGGACTCAAGAGATAATATTAGAAGGTAAAAGGTTTATTACCCTAATCCAATGAACATATCTAATCCAATAAACACTCACACATTATTATAAATCCTAATTAAAATGAAATATTGCAATAGATAGTAAAGACGAGAGACAGAAATAGAATAACACAATGAGAAAGAATCTCTAAAGTATTGTGTAAAGATACGAAGAATAAAAATAAAAAGTAACTGCAATAGAAAAATCTTGCTATTTTATTATCATTCGATATACTAGACATCGATTTGAACATGTTAAAGCGAACGCGTATCAAATGTTTCTTTTGATTATAGGTTTAAATTTTATATTTTTAAAGTAACTCCGATTTGGATTGATTATGCAAGCATCAATAGTGATTATGATTTGTTGAAAAAAAATAGTGATTATGATATACTTATAATTATTTGAGTGTTCCGAACAATGGAATAACAAGTAAAATCACAATTTAAATTACATAGAAAAAATATAGTGGCGTGTTCATGTAATTTCCTTTAAAAAAAATTGAAAATTTAATTTGTTTATCTTTTATTTTTTATATTTAAATTAGAAATTTATCAAACAACAAATAAAGTATACGATATTATTTTGTCAGTTGCATGAAGTCATAATATTCTTAAAATTAAAAGGATTTACGTCATAAAGGAAAAATATTAGTTAGTTTCATTTATTTATTAATATTTAGATGGAGATGACCTACTAGAACTAAATTGTTTGAATATATATATATTTATTTATTTTTCTCTTTTTAAATAAAGAGCCATCAAATTTTCAATAATTGTAAACATAAAATAGGATCCCCACCATGATCTAAAATGTTCTCTTTCTCTCTCTCTTTTTTTAATTCAGAAAACTACTATATGCTTTAATTATTCAAATTTTAATATTTTAAATACTTTAAAAACATTAATTAAAATTCACAAGTAAAAACCAAAAATTTGAAACGAACCTCTGCATGTATGACCAAATAAACTAAATTTAATTAATGTAAAGACTTTGAATAATTTTAAAACGGACTAAAGTTTCTTTCTTCGTTTCAATTTCAACCCCACACAGATACATACGCCTTCAAACAAACAAACAAACAAATGTCTTTGTTTTATTTTATTTTTATCCAAAAGATATACGAGTAAAAAAGAAATTACATGAAAATGATTAAATCGGAGTAAAGAAAATTAAAATTGTTGAATCAGAAAATCGTTCAACTTCGCGAACGTCAGTTCGGACTGGATGATCTAGACAGTGAGTTCAGGATGTCACGTCGAAGACCTGCAAAACAGGGTGAACACTCTGATGCCAAAGTTAGTGAAAATCTCAACAAAATCGAGAGAGAATCGAAATGTTCACATATCTCTAAATGAACGAAATGATTCTATTTATATGCAAAGACTTTGACAGCGTTCTCGACAAGGTCTCAACGACTCTTTAAAGTTATCGTGAAACACGACGTGTTGTCGTGGAGTGTGTCAAAGGTGTAACCGAGTTGGGGTAAGCTAATTTGTTTGGGAACGCGATTATGAGCAAGCTTGTTCGACTTGGCCACAAGGGTTCAGCTCAATCAGACGGATGAGCCGAGAGGTGCACACTTGGATGATTTCTTATGGCATCTATAAGTCACGTGTCACATTTTTGCATCCACTCCTCTCCTACCAATCATAATTTTGTTAGTATAAATACAATAATGTCAATCATCACACATTAAAATTTTTCATTCTAAAAATTATTATTATTTTTTATAATTATAATGTTTGATTTGTTAAATTAAAATTTAAAATTTGATTCAGAATACGATATTTTCTTAAAATTATATTAGAAAGCAATAAAAAAATGTTAGCAAGCAAGGATGAATTTTTTATTTTTTATTTTTAATATTTAAAACAAAAAACAGTTACATTACTGATTTTATAAATTAAGAGATAAATTAAACAAATTTGGAGATTTCTCGATTGTTCGATACGGCCATTGGATCACAGATGTTATGGCCGTCATCTTGGAAACCCTAATTCCCTCCAAACCCTAATTTACTCTATAAAACCATACACGCTCGTCTCTTCCATAGAAGTGGTTGCTCCTCTTGCCTCTCCGCTTGTGGTGATGTTGAAGACTTCGCTCATTTAGTTTTCACGAGCACTATTCTGTTCTTTCGGATCTGTTCTTTTGAAAATTCTCTTTCGGTTTTGTCAAACTTTACGATCGTCGAATCTTCTTTATTTTCTTCTTTGTGTTGTGGAAGGATTACATTTTTTTAGTGTAATTTGTGGGCTTGTTTGATTTGTGTTCTAGATTAGCTTGTAATTCACTTACGGATCTGTGGGGATAAATCGCAAAGCTCTCTCAACATTTGCAGTGCCGCCTGAGAACTTTCGCCTTCGCCGGGCTTGAGGGTTTCTGCTGTTTGTATCCTTCCTTCGATGTCGGAATACTAATTCATGTTTTCGACTCTTTTATTTAAATGTAAGGCTTTTAAAGCATCCATTTTTTTGAAATCGTTCGCTATTCATTTGATATCGTGTACTTGTTTCACAAAATTGTCCCAGAAAGTGACTAATTGGGGACTTTTCGTCTGCCCCTTTAGCAGTGTTCTGTGTGCTTCAGGGATGAATAAGGACCCTCATATTCATTCCCATCCCTTTCACTTTGTCAGCTTTCTCTTGCATGTCTTGCTGATCATTGTCGGATGGAAGATTTATACTTTCATTGTCGATTGTATCCAGCTTCTTCATGCTCAAATTGTTATGTCATTTTTCATTTGAATTCCCTTTTTACAATGATGATATCCTTAAGGCTTGTTTCTCAAAACATTCGCAGTGGCCGCCTGAGAGCTTTCGCCTTCGCCAGGCTTGAGAGCTGATGCTGCTCTTATCCTTCCTTGGATGTCTGAGTTTCCTTTGTGCTTATGAAATTAACCTCACTTTCCTTTTTACTGTCTGCACTTAATTGCTTATTGCATTCATCATTTGAAATTGTGTTTAACGATGATGATATCTCTAAGGCTTGTTTCTCAAAACATTCGCAGTGGCCGCCTGAGAGCTTTCGCCTTCGCCAGGCTTGAGAGCTAATGCTGCTTTTATCCTTCCTTGGATGTCTGAGTCTCCTCTATACTAATGAAATTAACCTCACTAGCCTTCGTTTTTTTAATGTACTTAATTGCTTCTATTCGTGATTTTTGTAGCATTCACCCTCTGAAATTGTGTTAAACGATGATGATATCTTAAAGGCTTGTTTCTCAAAACATTCGCAGTGGCCGCCTAAGAGCTTTCGCCTTCGCCAGGCTTGAGAGCTAATGCTGCTTTTATCCTTCCTTGGATGTCTGAGTTTACTCTTTGCTTATGAAATTAACATCGCGAGTATTTATTTTCCCTCTGTAGTTAATTGATTTTATTCCTGATGTTTATATCATTATCTATTTGGAGTTGTGTTGAACGATGATGATATCCTGAAGGCTTGTTTCTCAAAACATTCGCAGTGGCCGCCTAAGAGCTTTCGCCTTCGCCAGGCTCGAGAGCTAGTGCTGCTATATCCTTCCTTGGATGTCTGAGTCTTTTTTGCACTTTCTTTTCTTAACAGATTATTTTTGAACTTGTTTTGGTCACTAATCCGATTTTCCTCTGTGAATTTGTATTCGAATCATTAAGTTGGTCGTGTCTTGTTCTGTGTTTTGCTTTCTGTCCAACATAAATTTTTTATTATTACACTTCCAAAGGCTTCTCTCCTTCTTGGGATGTCTGAAACCCTTATAATTTGAAATTCATATCATAAATTCATTTTCTCAATTGTGGGTACCTTATTTTCCTGTGTCGTTTCTTGAGTTTGCCTTCTATATATTATATTAGTTGTTATCACACCAAAATCAGTTTTCTTAATGAAATGATTCTTGAGCTCGAGGGACTTCACAGTATCGAAGCATGGTGTTTCTTAATCATATTCATCTATTTAATTTGCAGAACATTTTCCCGCAGGTATTATATTCTTTCTAGAAGTCTGCGTGCATAACTTAGATTTTTTCTATTGCTCTTTTTATGTTCTTTATCTCCAGAGCAGAATAAAGTCCAGCATTGGGACTTGGATCTCCATTGTTTGCGAGAAGATCAAATTTCATTCATTGAACCAAGAAGCTTGTTGGAGGAAATCAAATGTAATTTGCAGACTGTTCAATTGTTTATGTTTTAGATTTATTTTATTTTTTGTGGAAGTTTAATTTGTCATTGGAATATTGTATTATATCTTGTTCATTTTATGATTCTTATAATTAAGGTCTATATAAATAATCTTGTTCTGTAATTTCGCTTCATTACGTTTGCACAGAATAACCCGTAAAATTAGATTACAGGCTCATGGACTTGTAAGATTAAAACCAACAAAAAGTGTAGACACTTTGAAGCTTTACCAGAAAACTGAACAATATATACTATTTTGAATATAGTATGATAGAGGAGGGTTTTTAATATCTACTGTCGCAAGAAACAAGTTTATATGTTCTGCGATGGGCATGTTTAGATTTATAGTATTGTTTTTCTAAATAATGCTGTTTAGGTTGTGGATTGGAGGCTTCCCTGATGCAGGATTGTAATCCATTGCCAACTCTTCGCTGCCTTGGAACTTCTTGTCTTTACTTTGATTCAATATGAGGTCTTTTGGCCTTTCCTCTTCTTCCTTCATCATATGCACAACTCTCATGCTTCTCCCTGCAAACCATGACGGCAAGACCTAACCTTCTCAAATTAAAAACTGTCATTTTTCTATTGCTTTAAAAATCATGCCTTCTCTTTTGTTTTCAAATTAATAACTTTTTTGATGTATGTTTCTAGAAGTGGATTACAAGTTTTGAGAGAAAAAAGAGATGCCTTGCCTAAAATCAGGCATTATTTTACACGAATAAAGGGTCCATTCATAAATAAAAAGAACACAATATGGGGGTTCTTGAGTTTGAAACTTGCATTGTTTGTCCAAAACAGCCGCAAGAAATTGTTGAGATGAGGTTACCTTTTGATGTGGTTGAGGCAAAACAAAGTAGAAGGAAAAGCCACAAACACAAGGAATCTGCAGTGGGCATCCATCTCAAACTCTCTTCAGTTAGAAGAGGAACCCTATTTTGGATTGATTGGGCTATGAATTCTATTGCAGATTGAAGCTTTGTAGACATGTGGAGCAATGGACTGTGATATAATTACTACTTGAAGAGATAATAGTGTGTTGAGTCCTTATCAGTGCTCTCTTTGCTGTCTGGGTGAAAAAGATGGTCTCTTGCTTCCAAACAAGGCCCTGCAATTAAAGATCTGATATATTATCCCACCTTTTCCCTTCTTGATCAGAATCATTGAGCCTTATACTGGATTGATTCTAATTTTCACTTGTTTGTGTGATTATTACTATAAATGTGGGTGAACTTACATGTATTTAGACTAATCTCTTAGGGAATCACCTTAATTCATGTTTGAGCGTAAAACTCTTATGGCATGTAATAGGTAGCTACATGATTTGGATGTAGAACCAACATTCATTTTACGGGTTTAAGATTCGTAATCAATAACCTATTTAGCCTATGAATTGGGTTTCAAAAGTTGCCTAGAGACCAGATGCTTTCAAAACATGTGAGATGAATACTTCTTAAGACATCTTCATATATAATTCGCCCTTTACGGCTTTCTTATTTCAATTGAAGATCTTCTTCATAGGTCAAATTTTTGGTCTATCAATCTTCAATGAAGAAGTACCAACCGTGAAAAAATAATTGGAAAAAGACCAACAGAGTTAGGTCTACAATCATTGTTAGAAAAGGCATCTCATCAACTTTGCTTGAATTGTGTAGGAAGCTCGTGTGGGGGAGATGCTCATCATCTCTATGGTGGGCTTCTTCGGCCCCTAAATCACTTGTATTTACTTTTCAATTCAGAGAATCAAATAGTAATAACAATATGACAATGTAGATACTGATGGGCATGTGAGGCTGTCACTTTCTACTCTTGAATTTGCTGCATAACAGCAAGGAGATAACCAAGTAGGGCCTTTGAATGTATGAGAATTTATCAGTAATTTTCAGGACAAGTAGATGGTCCAAAGGAGAGGCTATTTCTTGTACTAAGTGACAAGCATTGATCAATTAGGAATTATTGCAACAGTTAGTTTTAGTTGACAAGCCACCAAATTTTAAAACTCTAAACTAAATGTAACATTTGAAGTTCTTTAACAGTTTCAATTCACTTATCTTAGAAGAATTCGAGATGAAGAAGCTGAACTTAAAAAGAGTGAATTTGTTCCTTAAGTATTTTCAAAGTGAAAAGTCAAGATTCACTTCTACTAGCCAAGGACAAGTTAACTTCGAGCACTATAAAAATTTGGAGTCATTCTATATTATCTTTATTCATGTCTTCCATTTAGACGGCCTACTTTATTTTGTATGTTCCACATAAAGTACTGGAATTAGTGAATGTGATAGGAAAGATCTTCTTTCTACGGTGAATAATTACTAATAAATCTACTGATCTATGTTTATATTGACTTGTTAAAATATATTAGTGATCAAGAACATGCGAATAACATGAGCCAAGTTGAGGTTCAGATTTTAATTATGAATTAAAAGGTTTCTACGGACAATGCCAAGCAACAGTATCCTCTATACATGGAGGTAAGAATACTTATCAATCATCACAGATAAAAACATCATCAAAGCTAGATTGATTGTGACATATGACAAGAGAATCAGTGTTGTTCCATCTTGTTTTTACAATAAATTATTTTCTAAGAAAATGACACACACATGATAAGCCTCCTCTCATTATCTCTGCCTAGAACGATGCCACCTGTTCAAAATTAATGATAAACCCTCTTTATTTTCTCAAATCTAGTTCTTGACTGTTACAAAGGTATCTAACAAATCTTCCTGAAAATGCAAAGAATTGGAGAACTGCCAATTCGGAACAATCAGGACAAGCCACTGCAGCGGAATCACACAACACTTCACTAGTTATCTGCCAAAATTTTCCTAAAAATTTCCTTAGGTGCTGCAATTTACCATGAAACAAGAAATTCAGAAGAAGTAAGATAATACTTGATTCAGACATATTCAAATAACAGGTTATTTGACTTCCTTACCAGGCAGCCCAGTGAACCTTTCATATTGTCCATATGCTTGCCTGATGAACATCTCCAATCCAGGAACAATGGCTGCTCCACACTCTTGAGCTTCCCTCAAGAGTCTGGTCATCCTGGGTGTGTAAACCGCGTCGAAAACCAGTGAGTAGTATTTCAGAGCATGCTGCAAAACACAGAAAGTCACTTCCTTTCCCATTCGGTATTTACAACAACTATTTAAGTACAAGAATGTGTAAATTGTTAGAGTATCTAATGGTTCTTATGGAATTTCGTCTAATTTATCTCAACTATCCAGATCTAAACAAACAGCTTAGTTGTCTTTAATTGTTTTCAAACAAATATTCTTGTCCGAGTTTATGATTTGTTCACATTGTTCAAGTACTCTTTTAAAATACACCACCAAATTCCGGACACTTTCATGAGTGAACATGTGGACATTAGATCTTGATCTAGTGGGCTTATTCCAGATATAATAATGATATAGCAGTTTCATTGAATAAAACAATAGCTAAAATAGATGTAAACCTTTGGAACTGGAGTTTCATCAACTTTGGGCTGCATTCCAATTGATGTTGAGTTGGCAAGAATCATACCATCTTCTGGGTGAAAATTTTCTAAGTCGGCAAGAGACACGGCCTGTCCCCCAACAGAGTCTGCAAGTTCTCTAGCCCGATCTTCATGAAAATTACAGAAAAGTGTCATATCCTACTCAAACATTTGATATAATCAATAACCCAGAGTCATGGGGGAAGGGAAAGAAAAAGGGGCATCCAGCTAATATGTTAGTTCATCAAAAGGCAAAGGCAGGGAAGCCTGATGTAAAAATGCAATGTATAATATATCGTGCATAAGCTGGGAAGAACTCTAATCCGAAGCAACTCCCTTTGAGTGTTTGTGACCAAAGAGTTCTGATCTTCTCCGTTTTTTTGTTTTGTTTAGTTTTGTTTTGTATTGGCTCTTTTTGTGTTGTTTCTTCACTGGCCGCTTGCAATACTATATTTTTTTTAATGGTTTCTTAGAAAAAGAACAATTTTTGAGTCGGTCAATTTACCTAAATAAGAAATATGTAACAGGAAAATGCTAAGGACCTATCATACGAGGAAACTAAGAGAGAAGGAAATCAAAAGATTTAAGGAAAGAATCACAAAACTTAATAGAGGACGAGCTGAAAACTTCAACAATTATAAGATGGCAGGGAAGCAAGTGATACATTAAAAATGAGTGTTTGAAAAACATGCTGACGAAAGGGAGTATTCTCATGGCAACTTTTATGTTTATGATGGTTGACAATTCTATTTTCTACTATATAATAGTGATAATTGTCAACCAATTTAGCAAAAAAAATTAGATTCCCCAGCTCTGACACCAATTTGGCCAAAAAAAAAAACATAAAAGATAGAGATGCCTTTTAACCGAAGAGAACACTGTATTCTCACCATATGTGCGATTAGCAATTACAATCCTGGCACCCTTCTCTTTTGCACCATAAGCAAGAGCCTTGGCAGCTCCACCAGCACCAATGACAACAAAGAGCTTACCAGATAAGCGTGAACCAATTGTAGAGCTATCATTGTGCAAGTCTGCAAAAAAAAAAAAAGAAGGCATTGGTACCAAGCTTCTGGGTTGATAATTGTATTCATGGAAAAAAACAAAAGGACAATGTGCATCTAGAGAAGTTTCACAAACCAAGTAATTGATCTTCAATGGCTGAAATAGCACCATAACAATCTGTATTATAGCCACATAATTTTCCATCAGTTTGTCTTCTAACAACAAGATTAACAGCTCCAATCGACTGCAAAAATTTAAAACTCTTTCCCCTGTCATGCATGTTACTTTAAACCAAAAGGGAGGGGGGAACCAGCTTATCAACCATTCAACTGAAGATTGTCCAACTGGCAGAGAACCACAAAAAAAAAAAAAAAAAACTCATTATTTACCTTTGCAAGTGGATCAACCTCATCACAACATTTTAATACCGCTTCCTTGTGTGGGATTGTGACACTGTGATTTAAAAGAATAAATAAGTGAATAAAAATAAATTAAAGTGTCGATAATACGTTCAAGGTACTTCATAGATAAGATCGCTTGTTAAACATCATAAACCCATTTGGGCAATTTGAGAGACATGAGAAGTAAAGAGAAAAATCATCATTTCATCAATGGAAAACAAGAAACGGCAAAGAAACATGAAGCTAGTTGAAGTTGAAACCTGAATCCTGCAAAATCGCTGGATGAATAAGTATCGAGAAACTTTACAGGATCATCCACCAACAACGGTACATAAACACCATTGAATCCAACTGACTTGAAAAGCTCATTGAATAATACGGGTGATTTGCTGTGGCCTACAGGGTTTCCAATAATGCCAAATACCTTAGTATCGGTCCCTATTTGTCTGAAATTGTATAGATCCAGTAGATCTTCAACGGTTGGTTGACCAGGAGCTGAAACTATTCCCTTCTCAAGGGTACCAAATGTAAGATAGCCACCAAATTTTGGACAAAGTATCCGTGAAATAAACCCCCTGTCACTCATAACCAGTCCAATTATTGGAACCTGAGGAGTTGAACAGGAAAAATTAAAACTAATTTAAACAAATGGAAAAACTTTAAAATTCAAAATTTACAAGATGTTCTCTAGTGATCAGTTACTTCTCATCAGTAGATCAAAATCCCACTTATGACACCAAAGTAATTGATCCTAAATAAGAAGATTAAAAATTAACAAATTTAATTTTCAAGATCTGAAATAAAACTTAAAACCCAATTGTAATCAAGATGAACTTAGTTGGATTCCTTTTGATCTTCATTTTGTAGGGATCAGGGAAGGGCATTTGCCAAGAAGGTCTAGCTACAATTCACTTGTGCTACTTACTTGTGAATGGACAAGTATTTGAAGCATGCGAGCAACATCAGTGATATCCAGTGCGGTTGTTGCAATCTTCACAATGTCAGCTCCACTTGCTTGGATATCTGCTACAAGACTCCCTAAATCCTCTAAAGATGGGGTCTTCCTATAATTGTGGGAAGAAACGATGACTTTAAAATTTTCTGGCTTCTCTTGACGTATAGAGTCAATGAACTCCTTGGCCACCTTCAGAAAGAGATAGTGGAACAATAAACAAAATTTGGTGATTCAGATCCTGCTCAAAGTTGGTGTGACTTATTAGTAGTCAAAAACCTATGTAAACCTTTTCTCTCATCAAATCTTCAAGTGTCAAGCCATTTTGGATATTTTGGAGCAGAATTTAGTGGCAACACATAAATTTCCAACTATTTATTTCCAAATAGCTAGCTTTATTCCTAGTTCTAGGGCAGTGAGGAAAATTATAATTATTTTGGATCATCATCCAATTATTCTAGAAAGTAGGTTTGGGGACCTTGTCTATTTTGATTAGAGAATTAGTGGATAAATCATCTAGATTTTCACAAATCTATTGAAACATGATGGAAAGCAAAATTGTGTTAATAGCTAAAAGTGTTTTATGTGGTACACTACATTCCTGATTGATATGATTGAATGTAATATTTCACTCTCTCTCTCCTTTGGACATGGTTTGTTTCTCTGAATAAATGTAACTTATGAACTCCACATACTATAATGATGTTATTATTGTAATCTGCAACTTGTTTTCATTATGTATTCACAATGAAACAACCTGAAGTTCAACATCAATATAATCTGCTCCCAACTTCATGGCTAATCGAAGAGCATCCCGCCGCTGGTTCTCGTCACCATCATACTGACCACCTTCCCATTTTGGTCTGGGAGATTAATGGAATATGTGGTAAGATCATCTTATCAAAAAATCACACAGTAACTGAAATTTGTGCAAAAGGTAGCTTGACGAAATTATTTGTATTGCCTTATAAATTGATTAAACATAGTTATTCAATGCCTGGGGTTAAAATAAGAGGGGGTGAAGGCAAATTTCAGCTCAACATGGAGAATGCATCCCAATGCCATGTTTCAAAAGAAAAGGAGAGACTTTGAGCATCGACCAACATGGAAACACAATTCAGAGTTTATCAATCAAATGCACATTCAAATAAAGGAAAATGTCAATTAACATGGTAAATGCATCTAGTTCCAGGATTTGAAAGAATAAGAGGGAAAATGGGTATTGACCAACATGAAATCACAATGCAAAATTGTCCTAATTTCAGTATTTCAGCTTATACTCATAAGAAGTTGTCGCAACAACTTCAAAGCAATCATACGCTCACAAAGGTGGAATCAGGAATGCAGGGGGGAAAAATTCGAGGATGATACCTATAAGTGAATAAGGTGGGCACATGAGACTCTTTAATTAGAGTTTTAAGATCTTCATGGGGATTGAAAATCTTCAGTGAATCCAATCTTATCTCCACAAGGTCAGCACCATTCAGTCCTGCCTTCCTAACATCGATAACCATCTTATCTATTGATTCTGCCATGATTGGCACACAAATAAGGGTTGAATTCTTTGTAATCCCTTCAACTCCCACACCCAAGCCAGAATACGCCAGCTGAAACGCAAACCACGGGAAAGGGGAAAACACAATGTTGAAGTTAAAATAGTAATGTCAGATCACAAAGGCTTAAATAAACTGCAATCAGGCATTCCAAGTTTCCTCGTAGTAGTCAATCATTTATCACAGTCTGGCAGAATCAATAAGATCCAAGACATAAAATCAAGTTAATCTCAATCAGCCAGCAGTTTACGATCATTCAATCATATCCAAGAGGTGGCCAATCCCATAAAACCAAGTAAATTACGACAGTTTCATTTCATCAGAATTGCATTTTCTCCGCAATTTTCTCAGCATTCGAGCAAAAGAAGAAAATTAAAACTTAAAGAGCGAGAAATAGAACATGGGTATGTGAGATTCAGTTAGGAGTTACCCCAAAATCCATTTTTCTGCGGCGTGCGTCACGAATCGGACAATTGGCCGGCGTTTTGAAGGGGAAAATGTGATTCAGTGCCCAAGAGAAAGAAATTAGAAGAAGGGGAAGCGGAGGAGGCCGAAATGGAGGTAGGTAAGTCGTCAGAGCGGTTGGTGGGGCACCAACTAATACAAAAAAATTCGAGGGGCATCCATTTTTGACTGCCCTTGAAAATCAGATGAATGTTTGATGGTTTAATTGAATAATTGAACTACAAACATTGGAATCTAAGCCCGAAGTCATTAAATCCTAGAACAATGGAGTTGGAGCTCAAACTGAATTTTGTCGATCCCTGGTTGGTAAATGGTAATTGGTATCCACACTTTTGTCTAACTTGAAAGGATTTTTTTTTTCTACTCCGTCTTCGAATATTTGAGCCATATATTTTCGGAAAAAATGTTTGTTCTTTTTCTTTCCCTTTATTTTTTGATAAACAACGTTATTCACCGTATTTATTTTTATGAACTAGAGCCAAAATTATATAAGAAACCAATATTCAATATAATAGGTAGATTTAAAAACTGTTAGACTTGCAATAATCATTTGATAAAAATTATTGGGAATAAGATCGTTTCATTGGAAGAAAAGTTTATGGTATATAAATTAGGGAGCCTTTTGGATGATAACAAAATAAAATTGTAATGGTTTTTTTAGTACAATGTATATCTATACTATATTAAAAAGGTAGGAGGTAGGAAAAACATTTTTGAACACTTTTGCCCTTTACTAAATTTACAAATTATGCCATTAATATATTATTACAAATATTAAATTAATTATTAATTATTAATTATTAATTATCAATACTATAAATGCATGCAATATAAAGGGTTAGAATGCAAAAAGTTTTCCAACAACATAAAATTAATTTTTTCTTTAATTAAAATTCATACTAGAATTTCAAGAGTTTTAGAATTTGAAAAGCTTTCGTAACGTTATATCCTCTACTACTATAAAAATAGACTTTCTTCTACATGTTTTTCACAAGTTTCAATACTTTTTTATTCTTAGTTCCTTGAAACATCTCTGATTCAATCTTGAAAACATCTCGAGATATTTGTGACATATTCATCAAGTTGCAAGGGAGACATATGTTGAATCTACATATCTCGAATACTAGGTTTGTGACATTACCATTCCACAATTTTACAAAGGTGAATAATAGTATCTGTCAAGCAATCTGAGCATATTTACTCCAAAAGATTAGTGTATAGTAAGTACTTGGTTTTTTTGTTACTATTGTTATTTTTCTAATTATTGTGTTTTTTATTTGGAATGTTTCTTTTTTTAGCAATTTTATTTAGTTTAGGATTTGGATTTTTTTTTGTTACTAATGTTTTTATTGTTTAGTGTATTTTTTTTATTTGGAATGTTTTTTTTGAGCAATTTTATTTAGAATATTTGTTTAAAATATAGATAATTACAAGCTCATGTTCTTCTTGTTGAAAAAAAAAAACAATCATAGAAGTCAATATATAAAAAAATGTTTAATTAATAAATTAATTATAAACAATAATTTGTATAGAATCGTAAAAGGTGGAATATAAAACTTTTGGTTATTTTATTTTCTAATAATAATTTGAAGAATTTTTCTTTAATAATTTTAATTATAATATAAAATTAAATCAATAAAATAATTTATATTTAGTTAAAAAATTCAACATATATATGACATTTGCCCTAAACAAATATTTAATAAACAAACAAAATATTAAAAAAATAAAATAAAGGACTCATATTAGGTTGAAATAATTCAAAAATAAAAATATTAAAATACCTATTTACTTTTTTATTAATATATACTTTTTTCCTTTACTTTTAATTTATTTATTTACAAAATATATCATTAACAATTAATTATAAATATCATATTTAAAAAATAATTATAAATAGTACATTTTATTATTAGTAATTAGTTGCCAATAATAATAAATATATATAAAAATTAATCTTAATTATTTTTTAAAATAATTATACTTAAAATATTTCACGTGAAACTATATAAAATTTAAGTTACCTTATAATTAAAAAAAGTTTATACGTGCATTGCACGTGGTAATACACTAGTATCGTAAAGGCTTACCTATAAAATATATAATATCTTATTAACGGAGATCAAAGTAGTCTCTTATTTAAAAAAAAAAAAAGAAAAAAAATCTGAAACTGCCCATTTTCATAGCGACTAAAAAATGTATGTCAAAACATTTTCCTTTTTACCAAAAATTTCAAACAAGACGACAATTAATTTGAAAATAAACTCCAAATTTGATTTTGAACAAAATATATTGTGAACCCAAAACTGACCAAACAACATGTCAATTTCTTTCTTTGTTTTTTTTTTAACAAACCCATCATCTTTTATATTATAAAATATGTCACGTCATTTTTTAGATAGATCGACAGATAAATGACTAAAATTAGGTATCTTTTAAATCTTAGAGATAGAAGGATTAAATTTTGAAATGCCATATACGTGTGAAATACTTCCTATTCTAAGTTCCGATCAACCAAATATGTTCTACACAAATTTCCATTCTTTCAATTTTAAAAGTTTCAAATTCCTATTTTCAAACCTAAGGCATTCACATAAGTAACATATCCACGAATCTTTGACAAGAGAAACCTCATTCTTCCTAACCTTGAGGTAGTAGTATCCAAAAAAAAAATATATATATATATATAGTAAATAGAACACCAAAAAAGTGAGTTACCTCAAACAAAAGTCATTTATTTATTTTTAAGTTAATACATACCCACTTGAAGTGAATATGAAAAACATATAAGATAGTAAGAAGTTGACTAGCCGACAACGTCGTCTAGTCATGAATTGGTGGATACAATTTCACTGGAGCATAGTCAAGATGATACTTCAAATCATCATGGATTGAAATAGGTAGATTTCGAGCTGCAAAGATTTTCAAATAAAAATCAGGTCCCAAATTGTTGCCTTCAACTCCATGTTCATTGAATTATGAGATAAACATGAACCGCCATGATTTATGCAAGATTTAGATCCTCAGTTTGAAGTTCCAAATTATGAAAGTACTTCCATTTTAGTCAATATATTTCCATTGATCCTTAATCTTACTTTCAATATTAGATTGGTGGAGAGACATGAAACTTAAAATAATAGTTAATTTACTAAAAGAAAAATGATATTGAATAACAACCCCATTGAAAAATAAACTTTACCCCTAAACTTGTCAAATTGTATCAATTCCATACCAAAACTCAACCTAGAAGGGAAAAAAAAAAAACTCTAATGTCACCATTTTTCTTCTTTTAAATGGTATTATATTTCAAACTAGATCTATATACATAATAATAATTTTGTTTAACAATTCTTCAAACGAAAACAACTTATGAAAGGTAATAATTAACTACCTTTAACTTACCATACTTTTATAAGTTTAAGGTGAAACTTGATGAAATTAAAATCGGTAAACATGATACACCAACGTCAAACGTCAAATTTATTGTGGTTATTTTTGGTTACCTTGAGTTGGGATGGAAATGAAGCAGAAGAAGAGAAGCAACATGAGAAGGAGAAAGCGTTTGCTTATGATTTTAGCTGCCATATCTAATCTCTCCCTTCAATATCTCCTTGATGATTCTTTTAACAAAATTTGGAGCTTCTTAAATTGATACAAAAAAAAATAGCTAATAAAACCAAGAAGACCCACCTGAAATTTCATTCGGTCACTTTTAATTTGTAACTCAAAAAGAAAGTAAAATTATATTCCATGTATTTTAAAAAATGTATTTGGTATCATATTAAAAATTGAATCTTACAGTTTAGCATTATGTTTATATGATATTAAAAACCCAATCTTAAAGTTTTAGCATCATATTTAATATCATATTGAAAACTTAATCTTACAGTTTAGCATCATATTTAGAAATTATTTATGATTTTAAAAAAGCTGTTGCACTAAATCTTAAAATTTATTAATACATATCATGTTAGTATATTTTTTAATGTAATATCACAATATTATTGTTATATTGTGAAAAAGAAATTAGGAAATTATAATAAAAAACCTTTTAATTATTGTTGGAGACTTTCTTGGAATCAACCTTCTCACTTAGCTCCTCGTTGCTCAAATCCCCAACCCTCCTTTCTCTCTGTCATCCCTTATTAGTTCCACCATCAACGAGCAAGACGAGAGGAAAATCGAGATTTCAGTAGAGGGAAATATGTAAGTGATAGAGAGAGGAGAAATAAATCGAGATCGTAGCGAGAGGGGGAAACTAGTTTAACATGCAGAATAACAGAGAAAATTTAACACCCGACACAACCTCTACATAACTCCATTAGATAATAAAAGAAACAAAAGCATCGCTAATCTTAAATAAATTGGAAGAAATCACACAACTTGAACGAGCTAATTTCTTGTTCATCGATAACAAGAACAAAATCCTCTCCACACTACCAAACGCGGTGCAACCATGGAAGTAGAAGATTAACTTTCATTCTTAAGAGGCTTTTTGAGTTTAACCACATGGGTGGAAAATTTAAATTTTCGATATTTTTTAGTCGATGATATATGCCTTAATCATTTAAGTTGTTGTTGGTCCGAGCTCATTTTAAAGTTGATGAGTATGGCCATGTGACGTGGTTTAGTTGTGGACTGAACGATTCTTCCTTGGTGGAGCATAGTCAAGATGAGATATTATATCGTCATTTGGTGGACTCAGTTCTTCATCTCTCACTCCATTTTCAGCTTCCATTTCACTCTGTAAAGGTGGATTTCGAGCTGAAAAATAGCCCAAAAGAAAATTCCATTAAAAATTCAATTCCCAAATTGTTGTTTTACAACGAATTATAATAAGGATGACGTCAAGAAAAAAATTCTTTTGAGATGTATTATATTTATGAGAAATTTTTTAGTATTAATTGGAGTATCTACTCAATTTGTTCACACCATAACTCTATAAATAATTATTTAAATGACAATCTAGCCAAGTTCAAATTTCTACCCACTTATTATTGATGAATTAAAAAAAAATTAATATTAATGAATACACATCATTTTTAAACAATGCTAACATGGCTTACGGTGCTATCCTATTAGCATTGAAAACTTTACTCATATTTACGTTAAATTATAGGTGAGTTTGACATTTTTTTCAATAAGGGTAACTAGTTCCTTGCAAGAAATTATTTTATTTTAATTATTACTTTTACTATTGTATAGCATTTTAATTAAACATATAAAAATTTGAGAAATTAGTATTTTGTTTATTTATTAGCTTAAATAATAATTTCTTTAACATTTTTAGTAGCTCGATGGATGAACCAACACCACCAATATTA